TTTTTTTTTTTTTTTTGGGTTACAGAGACCTTGTGCATGCATGTAGAAAATTGTAAAATGTAAATTTTTTTTTAATATATAAAAAGCTTGTTTTTACAGTTTGCAGTGGATCTAAACATAATGGCAATTTTAGGGATTTTTTTTTTCTTAAACATAGGAACTAAAACTGTACAAATTTTTTTTATATGAAATAAAAACATTTGACTTTTGTGGGGGCATTCTGTTGTTTTTCTTTTTCTACTGGAGTGGGAGCAAAAGAAGTCGGATGTGCTCCTTGTTAGGGGGAGAGCGGCCAGCAGGGGGCAGTGTGAGCGCAGCATTCCTCCGCTCGCCCTCAGGCCCCGTTCGACTGGAAACTACCTATTCTGAACCCAGATTCCAAGAAGTGAAGACTCAACTGTTCCTTTGGGGTGGTTGTCAGGATAAGGAGGAAGGAAAGATTACTTTCCGGGTGGATCCAGAGGATTTTCAGGCAGTTGGTGATTTCAGTCAACTGTGATAGCTTATCACATTTCATTGAGAAAAATTCCTGAAGTACCTCTCTTCTAAGTATCTTCTCTCTCTCTTTTTTTTAAATGATTTTTATTTATTTATGTGAGAGAGAGCACAAAAGGGAGGAGGGCCAGAAGCACTCCCCGCTGAGCAGGAAGCCTGATGTGGGGCTCGATCCCGGGACGCTGGGGTCATGACCTGAGCTGAAGGCAGACCCTTCACCGACTGAACCACCCAGGAGCCCCTCTTCTAAGTATCTTCTTATTCCTACCATTATCTCTCTGATCTTTCAGGCATGGCACAAAAAGAATCTTCTAGCAATAGTCATGTATTTAAAATGAAGACGTTCAGTTGGCGGTGTGCTTGTAATCAAGCACCAGAGTCGTCATCAAATCAGGGTCCTTCTCTCAGCTCTGCCCAGACCCACGCTTCTCTGGGACTTGGGGCACCAGGCTTCACCCATGAGCAGCCTTCTGGGGTTAAAGACAGACAAGCAAGCAAATGTAAACTCTCTTGTGTGGAGTTGACCCATTTCCTAGATTTGGTCTTCTCTCCCCAGCCCACACTTTGCCAGGCTGAGGATGCACAGACAAAAGACTCGGTCCTTGTCCCGCAGGAAGAGCCACGTGTATAGGAGGCCCGGGCCGGATCATCTAAGGCACCAGGCCAAGTCACCGCGGCTGCATTCACAGCCACAGCACACACAGGCCCTGGCCGGACTCCCAGGAGCTCAGGGAGCTTTTCTCCAAGAAATTTAAGGAGTTTAAGAATCAAGTTCGGGTAACACAATCTCTTTGAGCGGAGGGGCTTTATCTGTTTTGTTCACCTAAGTATTCCTGGCATCTATGCCATTCCTCACATACAGTTGGTGCTCAATAAAAAGAAAATTATTGAATGAGTAGTGAATTCAAAAAGCTAACAATATGATGGGGGCACATGAAAGGGGTCATATCCTTCTCCCTTTAAAATTGCGCTCATCTTTCTCATGTGAAAATGAATAAAAACACTAGCCTTGAAATGTCATCCCCCGTCCTCATGATTGTCCTTCTGGGAATGAGACTTACAGTTTCACTTACTGTTTCCAATTCACCTCGAAGCCAACTTTTGACTTAACTGTGACAAAATTTCTACCCTACCATGCTTCTGAAATTATTCTTGTTCTTCGTAGCCAAGCACAACAAATACCTTGGTCTAGTGAGTCTTTATTCAGTGCCCGTGATGCCCCCAGCCTGGTGTGAAAGCAGTTTGTTTGGTAAAGGCTGCGGATGTGTTCCTGCCTCCACTGACCCAACTTTGTGGGTCTGTCTGAGGAGTCTGTCTTTAACCTCCCAGACCTCCTCCTCCGCTAACACTGGCCCCAGGAATTAATAGCTTTAAGGCCAGGTCTCAGTACTTGATCTGTGGGATCATATTTTCTCTTGGGGTTTGCTGAAAGCAGAAGTGATAGCCCCGACCACTTGTCACGGCTCAAAGGGCATTTGTAACTGTTTGCCGAGAGGACGCACTTTTTCCATGGAAGTATTTCCCAAATCACTGAAGACCGGGTCTCAGCTCGTGTGCTGTCGGGATAACGCCAGACTTCTCCTGGACATTCCTGCCCAGATGTGATTTTCCAGCCTTTGTCTCTGAAATGAGGCCAAAGGGAAAACCCGGCGCTGGGGCTCTGGGAGGAGAGCCATGAGAATTTTTAGACCAAGTTCTTAGCAAATCTTACACACTTTTTTGTTTGGGTCCATTTAAACGGCTTCTACAGAACTGAAAAACAGCGTAACGGAGGCCCTGACTTTTTATATGTTAGTTTAAGCATTGATGGAAATACTCCCCCAGTTGCTGGGAAGGCTGGGGTGGGAAGAAGTCAGCCTTTGGAAAACCATCACAGCTTAGTGCACAAGTGGTCATGGAAGATGTTAGAGAGTAGAGGACCATCCGCATAGGAGAAAGATCTTGGGGAACAGTTATCCCTGTAGTAGCTCTCTGGTTTCTCTGTGGGCTGAGAATGGGGTCTGTTTCCCTCATTTCGAACCGCAGGGCAGATGTGATATCCTAAGAACCCATAACAACAATGCCAAACTTAAGTACATGTGGAAAAGCGGGGGAAGGTACTGGCCGTGTTGGGAAACCTGGGCAAGGCATTGGCTTCTCTCATTCCCATCTGAGCAAGTTTTGGGGAGACATTGTATGCTATGCAATGAGATACAAAGATAAATAAAACATTGTCCCCTCTTCTAGTTCATGGGACTTTGGCTAGTAAAACTGCAGAAATTTTATTATTTTGTCACCTGTTCTCAGCAACGCAAGGAAGTCAACTTTACCGCAGGTGGGACGCGCCGAAGCCAGTGCTTGGGGAGAGCGTGGAGCCTGGTAGGTAAGCTGTTGGATGTCACCACTGAAAAAGAGCCGTTCCTACTCTCTGGGTCCTGTAATGGGGACCACTTGGGCTGAGAAATGCTAGAGGACTCTGAGATCTTCAGTTGTGTCCTGTCCTTTCTGCTTGCTTTATGGGCACAGTTAGCCCATTCTGCTGCCTCACCCAGGACACTATGTGGTTGAAAGTGAAAGTGGGTTTTTAGGAATTACAGGGCAGTGAAATTACTCTGCATGAGACTATAGTTGTGGATACATGTCAGTATAAATGTGTCCAGATCCACAGAAGGTCCAACACCAGGAGGAAAATCTAATGGAAGCTGTGGGACTTTGGATAATAATGTGTCACTGTAGGTTCATCAGTTGTAACAAATGTGGGGCTCTGGTGGGGTGTGTGGACATGGGGGGCGCCTCTCCCTGTGTGGGGGGCAGGGTGCCTTTGGGAACTCTTGTACCTTCAGTTCCCAGTTATGTTCTAGCAAAAGATGAGTCTCTTCGAGAATAGCGGAGAATTGCAATCCGGAACTAGCAAGCTGTGGTAAAAATCACAGGCAAGTCCAACAAACAAAGGGGAGGAGCATTATTTTATGGGGAAGAAGGAAGAAGTTGGGAAGGGTTGTTTTGAACAAAAGTCCATTGGAGGGGTGCCTGGGTGGCTCAGTCATTAAGCGTCTGCCTTCGGCTCAGGTCATGATCCCAGGGTCCTGGGATTGAGCCCTGCGTCGGGCTCCCTGCTCAGTGGGAAGCCTGCTTCTCCCTCTCCCACTCTCCCTGCTTGTGTTCCCTCTCTCACTGTGTCTCTCTCTGTCAAATAGAAAAATCTTCAAAAAAAAAAAAAAAAAAGTCCATCGGAGAGAAGCAAGAGTTTAGGATAATGACGGCTTCTCATGGGCTGAGTCATGGGGGTGGTCGGTTTCTTGTAGGAGATGCAAGGCATTTTTCCCATTGGGGCCTGTCATTGATGATTCTTTCCAGTGAGATTTTTTTGAGGTTTTATTTATTAATTAGAGAGAGAGCATGAGCAGGGGAAGCGGCAGGCAAAGGGAGAGGGAGAAGCTGACTTCCCGCTGAGCAGGGAGCCTGCTGTGGGGCTTGATCCCAGGACCCTGAGATCATGACCTGAGCCAAGGTCAGACACTTCACCGACTGAGCCCCCAGGCGCCCCTCCAGTGAGATTCTTCTGTTAGGGTCTGTGATTGACAGTTCTTCCTGTAATTGACATTGAATAGTAGGGCTCCCCACCCAGACCCTCCTTCTAGCACCCAGAGTCCACTTCAGTGAGGTGTCTTTTTTATGAATTTTCACATTGTGAACCTTAGACTGCTCTGGAATATAAAGTCTGGTCAAAAGGTAAAACGTCCAGTTGTAAGATAAGTTAAGTACTGGGGATATATATAATTATAGCCTGAGGACTACAGTTAACACTGCTGTATGATGTATTTGAAAGTTGCTAAGGGAATAGATCCTAAAAGTTTTCATCACAAGGAAAAATCAGTTTTTCTTTTTTTCCCTCTTTTCTTTTTTCTTGTATCTATATGAGATGATGACGGATGTGGACGAAACTCATTGTGATCATCATTTCACAATATATTGTAGTCAAGTAGTTATGCCCTACATGTTAAACTTACATAGTGCCAGTGAAACTGAAAGAAAAAGAAATAAAATCTATTTAAAAAACAAACCCAAACCAAACATAACCTTACTTAGTCCCAGATACAGACCTAGTAATCAAAGTAATAGTGTAGGCACTTGTCATTCGGGAAAAAAAAAAAAGTGGAAGTGTCTGCTGTTTCCCCTGGATCCCTGAAAGCGTGCCGTGGAGCTTGGAACTCTGCTAAAGCCCCCGGAAAAGGAGGGTCTGGTGGCCCATCCACGCCTTGACAGCTGGAAATTTGCATGAATGGGCTTGAATGTGTCAAGAGACAGGTGGTTTCACTTACGGGTAGTTTTCGCTCCTTTCAAGTTCCAGTTAGTGTTTGTTCTATTTGACACAGGATGTGTGATTTTAGGGTGAGGTT